TTAATTCAGGCTCTTCCACACGAATTGACAGTTCTTCACGATTCTGTTGAAGCAACCGTCTAGTTTCATCATCATCTGACGATCCAACATTGTTTGAATCATCATTTGTACACCAGCCATTGTTATTGGCTCGGGTGCTGCTGCTACGACAGGTCTTTGCTCAATCACTGGTGGGTTGATTCCTGTTTTTCATCAGCATTTCCAACTCCACTTCTTGTTCTCACCATTTTTGATCTATACACCGAATAATGTGAAATTAGATCCTTATTCACGATAGATATTCAAATCATCCTTATCACTCTGAAACGTTTACATGCAAGTTCTAATATCGTAGACGTACGCTTAGAATCCTACACACATAAAGTTTCTAGATCCGGTCGGCAACAGACCATAGATCTGAACAAATAATATCATATATGGCAACATATAACATTTAGCACATAAAGCATTTTAGGCAACTTTCCTAAAATAAACTAGTGCTCGTGTCTAAAATGTAACAGACACACATCTCAAAATTCCACTTAGCATTCTAAGTTTAAGTCTAGAAATCCTACAAATTCCTAGTTCTCTTAAACTAATGCTCTGATACCAACTGTGACATCCCAAAATCTCGGCCAGAAAAGACCGATTTTCATTTATGCTTTTAAAATAAATTCAGAGTAAATCCTTTTGATTTGAAAGAGTTGCGGAATTTGTTCCCAAAAACAAAACATGATAAAACAATGTTTACCAAAGCATTTCATAAAAGAAATGTATTTTTCATTATATAATCAAAACTCGGGGTGTCATGTTCCGATATAGACCAACAAGCATAAACGATAACATTACAAGTCATTCAACAAATATACATATACAGACTTGTAAACAAAACAACTTGATGGTTCATCCATCTTACGCCCTTGCGCCACTTCCTGTAATACAAATAAAACTGAGTGGGTCAGGCTTGGGAGCCTGGTGAGCATATAGGGTTTTCAACCCACAATAAATAATTAAATTAATTATTATCAACCAACAATAACCAGTTACCCATTCCGTTATTCTCACTTTAATCCCTAAAATAACTAACACAAGGGACCTAATTAAGAATATTTTCATCGGGGTGACAACACATGCTGCGGGGTTCCTCAGCAATATAAGTCAAATAAGGCAACCATGAGGGGGATGGAATACAGCGAATGAACACCCAAGTTCATTAACACCTACAAGTTATGAGCCTGATAGCGTTCCACAGGACTATCTAGAAAAGTCCGTGGTCATCATCTAAATTTTGCTAGATGACTGGATCAAAACAACAACGAGGCCTCTCATCTGTTTATTACACACCAACTATCTACCAATGTTCTACCCAACATATTAGTAGATAAAAACATACATTTTTATACATATTTTCAAAACTTGTATAGCATACTTGATCAATACATTTTCCATATAACAGATGAGGCACACACACATAACACGTATTTCATATATAAATAATCATATCTGTAAGATAGAAGAAAGTGAATATACATTCACACACATAACAACAAAATATACACATAACACGTATCTCGTATAAAATACTTCATAATTATACGTTAGGAGAAAGTAACAATGCATTCACACGTATAAACAACAATATACTTAATACACTCAAACCATACTTGTATTATTATTGCGTTTATGAAAGGTAGTATACACTCACTTGATCAGAAGATGATCGGACTGCACTACGGATTGCAGAAGTCGTAATCCTCAGGAGATCTGGAAGATCTCTACGAAAATCGAACTTCTCGCGGGCAGAGCTTCATCTCGGAAACCGCACTTCTCGGGATCTTCGGGATCTCGGGACTTGCTTCGGAACTTGGGAATATTACCGGGGCTTCGGGGTGGCTTCGGGGGTAAAAACGCAGAGCTTCGGCACAAAGACGAGAGGAAATTAGCAATTAAACCCGGACCCCTCGCATCCTATTTATAGGAGGCTAGAACCTCCTCGTACGCGGGGCGTACGCCTGTACGCGGGGCGTACAGGGCTCCGAAATCGTCACTACATGCGTCATTCGAAGTGTCGACACTTCTTGCCATATGCGAGGCGTACTCCGGATGAGTCTGGTGACTCGTCTTCGGATAAGGCCGGTATTTAATAATTAAATTTAATTATTAATTATTTAATAAACTTTGAAAATTCATATCTCCTTCATACGAACTCCATTTTCGACGTTCTTTATATCCACGCGAAGGTGAGACTACGCTCTACAACTTTCGTTTAGACTCCGTTGGCTAATTTTGACTTTATTTTTATTATTTATTTTTAATAGGCCGGGATAGAAAATTTCGTTATAAATTCATAACTTCTTCGTTTGACGTCCGTTCTTGCCTAACTTTTTATCGCTTTGATACTAACAACGAGGTCTTCAATTCTCGTTTAGATCACTAAGGCTAAATATCGCTCTAACGTAAATTTCACTTTTTACGTTATTCAGCGGTGCCGGTTCTATCGCGAAACCTCGACAGGTCATAACTTCCTCGTTATAACTCGGATTTTGGCATTCTTTATATCTTCGGAAACCTTGTTTCAACTACTTCAACATTATCTAAAGATATCAAGTTTATTTTACACTTAAATTTTGACGCTTATTTTTATTCTTAATTAATCAAACCACATAATTAAGCAATTAAACACAAAACACATAATACTCAAATAATACACTTCTATTATTTCAAAACGGGTTGCAAAGGTTAACCTAGACCATTACATTGCTAAAAATGGCAAGCCTAGAAACACAGACGTTACAGTTGGATTCTAATATATGTGAATGGTTTTGATTTGTGGTGTGATTCTGGTATATGGTGTCTGTATGAGAGAGAGAGAAAGAGAGAGAGAGAGAGCGAGAGAGAGAGAGAGAGAGAAAGAAAGAGGGAAATGGAGAGAGAGAGAGAGAGAGAGAGAGAAAGTGAGAGAGAGAGAGGGGGGAGAGAAGCATACACACTAGATTTTGATCGAAAGGTGAGGGGTGGTGCAGAAACAGGTAGGTGGTGGTGCTCTTCCTAGGGTTGATCTCCTTTATTCGAAACCCTAGATCTCAAGTGGTGCCTAGAGAATGCTAATGACTCAAGTATGAGATTGGAGGAGAGGAAATATAAGACGAGAGTGGTGTGGTAGGTGAGGATTTGATGGCTTCGGAGGTGTCTTGAAGTGTCATAGATGCCGCCGAAGTCTGGAGTCGGTTGGTGTTGGTGGTGATGATGGATAAGAGACGTACTGAAGAAGAATTGGGGGGGGGGGGGGGGGGGAGCTAATTTACTCGTTCTGTGTTAAAAGGAAATTATCATTTTTTGTATAATAATCGAATCAATAAATAATTAATAAATAACAAATGAATAGAAAATAAAATAAATAAATAAATAAATAAGGGCAAAATGGTTTTTTATGTCTTGAGGGATGAAGCTTGAAAGTTTTAAACTAACAAGGATCGGTACGGGTTAATTTTTGAAAATAATGACTGAATGTGTTTTTTGGCACTTACATGAGGGACTATTCGTGTAAATTACTCATTGATTTATTATAAATGTTTAAAAGATCAATATTTGTACCTATCCTATATTGCCATTGATAAAGGTGTCGCTGCAATTGAAATCTCTGTGAATGATAATGGGTTCATACATGTATATATAATCCAATATTTTCAGTACTTAATGTTTGCCATGACCACTTCTTCAAGGCCTACGAAACATGTTTATGTTTCTTCCAGTAAGGTTATTGCAGGAGGTGCAAACTTTGGTGATGAAGTGTAAGGTGTTCCGCTCCATGTCTCTCTATTCTCGAAACAAAGTAATTATGTTGTTGTTCTTCAACGACGTTAATAGCTTCACCTTGGAGTAAAGTCATTCCATCATAGATTGATCATGGCAAAAGTTCCTCAATTTCACTTGATTAAAAAAAGAAAAGAAAAAAAGTAAGGATCATATTATAAAACACAAAAAATCGAACCTTCAACCACCTTCGTGATGGTTGGTGTTGCCTCACCAAGTTTTTCCAGAAAGAAAACTCATCATCGACTCAATAAAATGAGAACCCATCAAAAGAAGCAAGCAAAATCCAACCCATCAAATGAGAGGGTAAGTTGGTGAAATCGATTTGAACACAGAAACGTAAGCAAACATACCTTAATCGAAAGCGACAATGGCTAATGTTGATGCTAATCAGTCAATATCTCAAATGGAGATAGATAGGTGTTAGAGGTTACATACGGAGGAATACTTCTAGAAGTACATCGACCAACAACGAAATAGCAATCATTGTTTGCCACAAAGATCATGAGTGGTGGTAGGAAGCAATCTCGTTGGTGTTTTCTAGAGTTTGCAATCACTACAGTGTTTCCACAGTTTTCAATTGCTACGGTAGTCGATAGTTTTGTTTTCAGAGAGAGAGAGAGAGATTTTCAATCATTGCGTTTGTTGAAGAATGTTGTGCGTTATAGAGATGGAAGAGATTGATTGGAAACGGAAAAAAGGTGAAAAGTTACGTATAAACCAATGATCGGAAGCAAATTGGAAAAGATAATTGGTTGTATTATTATTATTCATAACAATGTTATGAATTAATATAATAATAATTTATTGAATATATATGAGATCCACGATGATTTAAAAAGCTCTTCGAAAAACTTTTAAAATCTTATAGTGTGGATGTGTTATTATTTAAAAAAAAAAGACAAAATTTCACGATTGGTCCCTGTGGTTTACACAATATCGCACTTTGAGGACTTTCTAGCAAAAAGTCACGCGAATGGTCCTTAAGGTTTCATTTAATTGCGCGATTGGTCCTTGACCCTAACCCCGTCATTTTTGAGCCGTTAGTGAAGGGGTAAATTTGTCTTTTCATCTTGTTGTGCATCAGAGTATATAATTTAAGTTCCGCCTTTGTATCCTTCTACTTCTTGTTCCTTGCCTCTGTTCTTCCCTCCCTACTCACATTCTATTCCAAAATTGAAAAAGATGGTGATATGCCACTGTGGAAGGCCGGCGATTTTGGTGACATCGTGGACTGACTTGAACCCAGGTCGTCGATTTTGGTCATGCTCAAGGTTAGGAGGAACATGCAGCTTTTTTGGATGGTTCGACCCTCCCATGTGCCCTAGGTCAACTGTTGTGATTCCAGGGTTGTTGCGTGGAAGAAACAATCTCGAAGCAAGATTGATGATGGTGAAATGGCTACTTTGTCTGAGTTGGTTGTTTTTCATGGTGTGTTACCTTTTCAAGTAAAAAATCAAGAAGCATTTGGGGGGGGGGGGGAATCTATAACTTGGAATCTGTCTTTTGGTCCCATTTTTAATGTTGGGACAAGAAAATGTAACAGATATAATATGTAATGTAAGTTTGATGTTTTGTTTTAATGTGATGGATATTATATTAGCAAGGAAGGAAATTGTCAATTTGATTGCATGTAAGTGTAATGTTGATTATTAAAGTGCAGTAACATAGCCAAAAAACTAATTACCAAAGTAGCATTACCATTAACCATAATGCATGTAAGTGTAATATCATGTTACAAACATAGAATACCCAAAAGACCTATCAAAAGTAGTTGTTTTGACTGACATACCATAACCAAACTTAGTAAACATGTTCTAACTTTAATTAGACATAATAGCAAAAGATTACTTAGAAATACAAACTAAGCTACAACATGTTTTCCCTTCTTTTGTCCACCCCCCTATCCAGCTTCACTAGGACCTCCCTGCCCCTTGCAAGTCCTAGCATTGTGACCTTTGTTGTGGCATTTGCTACAAGTGACTGTCAAGTGTTTCCTACTTAACTTGGTACTTTGAGTTGGCTCATCAACTGCCCTCTTCCTTTTTTTCTTTGGCCTACCAACCTATAAACAAATTCATATGGTTACATATTAACAAGTTTATTAAATAGTTTCAAGTTAAATTAAACAAAACATGTATGACAACAAACCTGTTTGTGATGTTTGGGTGGGAGAAGGGTTGTTGGACAATCAGATCTAGGCCACATGCTCCTTCCATTTATTGGGTCAATTGTGTGTTGGTACATAGCATTCCATGTACTGAGCCAGTAACATTTGCTCACCCAAGCCTCAGGATCTCCACATTCTGACCCATTCTGCATCTTATCATACATTGCAGCAATAGCATGCTGGCATGGAATACCTGTAATGTCCCATTTCCTGCAAGTGCAACTCCTCTCTTTCAAATTCACAACATACTGCTCCATCCATAGACCAGTCACTTGATATTTATCAGCTCCATTAAATAGAACCCTCATCTTACTTGCCTCTGTCTTATTGTTTTCTAAGATTGTTGTTGCAGTTGTACTTAGAGAACCTTTGCATTTGTCTAGCACCTTATGAACATTTACTATTCTCTTTGTGAGGTATTCTCTAATATATTCCAAACAAGTGATTATAGGCTTGTCCCTTGCCTCATCTAGCTTGGAGTTAAATACCTCACACAAGTTATTTGTTAAACTATCAGTCAATGCCCTTCCTATATATAAAACCAAACAATTAATTACTGAAATCAGTTATGAAATATGTTAGTGAAAAGAGTATGATACTTACCAGAGAAATGGGATCTTGCCCAGTGTTTTGCAGGAATTTTACTTAAACACTCATGTGCTTCTGGGTTAAGCTTTTTCAGTTTCTCCATAGCCCTATTAAATTTTGGTATGTTGTATACTTTTCCACAACACCATACTGCTTCCCTCAATTCATCTCCTTTGTGTTTCAATTTCATGTTGTGATACACATGTCTTAAACAGAACCTTTGCTCAGCTGATGGAAATAACTTCTCTATTGCAGCCAAGATTCCCTGTGAGTACAATTAAAATAAGTTAGTAAATGAAATAATAAAAAAAAGTAAAAGTGAATAAAAAGTTAGAGGGTACCTTTTGCCGATCTGAAATGAAAGTGAAGTTAGATGAAGAATTCAAATCTAAGTCATCACCCAAGTGTTCCAAAAACCATGTCCAAGAGTTAATATTTTCAGTCTCTACAATGGCATATGCAACTGGGTAAATGCCATTGTTCGAATCAAGCCCAACTGCAGTAAGAATTTGTCCTGGAAAGGGACCCTTCAAAAACGTACCATCAAATCCAAGAAAATCCCTCAAACCTTTTTTAAATCCCTCCTTCAATGGACCTAAGCATATATATATCCGTTTGAAGATCCTTGTCTCAGAAGACACATTGGGTTCAGTTTCGACATCTATCTTCACAGTTGTTCCTGGATTCTTTGACTTCAATTCCATGGCATATTCTCTCAAAACACCGTACTGCTTTTCATAATCACCATAAACATATTGTTTTGCCATAGCTTTGGCCCGAAATACTTTCATCTTTGATATTGAAAGTGAATACCTCTGTACTAACTCCTCTTGTAAAGCACGTGTAGGGATCTTGGGGTTACTTTCAACTTGATGCAATATGTTGTTAGCTAGAAACTTAGATGAACAAGCCCTCACTGTCCTTGTTTGCAAACAAGAATGAGAATCTTCGTATGTTTTGACAGTCCAAAGTTGTTTCTCATCTGCCCTAGATATAAAAAGAACCCATGGACAAGTTGTTTTCTTGGAAAGTACTAAATTGCCCCTATCTTTATTACTGTCACCAGTCAATTCAGGAACAATACCCCTACACTTTACCCTAACTCTTGTCTTGTCATTCTTTACATAATGTAGATCCCTCCTTTCTTTTACAGAGTAGTTGGCAATAACTTCTCTTATTTTTTCCTTTTCCTTGAACGTCTGACCAATCTTAAAAGCTTTAGTGTGAACCTCACCAGATGAACAAGCAACTGGTTTTAGAATGGACCTTAACAATTTCTTCCTAGGCTCTTTTTCACTAGCAAATGACTCAAATACATCATTGTCTAAGACTTCTAAACGTTCATCTTCAATGTCTTCCTTTTCCTTAGTATTATTGTTTGTCGGATCAAGCTGGCCCAAGTCAATGTCTTCATCAAGTACACTACAGAAGTTGATCATGTTCACCTCCACATCATCTATCAAAGGTTCCTCATCAAACACTATTTTTTTTGCATCATGCTGACTATCAAAATCACTTTCATCTGCACTATCCTCACAATCATATTCATCATCTACAACTGGATCATTATTCATAACTGGCTCATCATATTGGTCATCTATGATTGGCACATCATTCATAACAGGTACATCATTCATAACTGGTTCATCATTCAAATCTGGTTCATCATTCATAACTGGTTCATCATTCAAAACTGGCTCATCAGTCATAACTGGCTCATCATCCATAACTGGCTCACTATCCTGTATCACTTGTGAAGGTCCATCAAATGTTCCATATGGCACAATGGACTGGGAGTAGTCTAATTTTTTCCTAGAAGACCCAACAACTTTTCCCTTCTTTTGGTTCCTATCTAGTTCAGGGGATACATCAGTAACCAACTCCTCAATAATAACCTTGGTGGGGGACAAAAAATAACTGTTAACCCTTGTATGCCCATGCTCTATGTAGATACTTAAAAGGTTATTTTTTTCCACATAATTTGACAATACATGCACATCCCCATCATTTCCTAGAGGTAACAGACCAAAGTCCAACTCTACTTCTGGAATAAGAAAATGATAATACAAAGTTTGCCCTTCTACGTACCCTATTTCTCGAACCATTGTATCCAACTCATGCACAGAGAATACGTCAATATCTACGAAGTCAACATAGTCTATTGTTCCATCTACGTACCTTCTCCCAGGGCTTTTCGTGAATATCCCACCATGATGGATTTTCAGAGTGAAATAGTTGCTTGTTCCCTCTGAAATAAAGAATAACAAAAAAAATTTCAACAATTTGGGCATAATATCAAATCGAGAAAATCAAAGATCACTTTAGTAAGTCACTTACGGTATATCCTTTCCAAATCATAATTTGATGCTTTAGTGTGTTTGGAACGAAGTGACCATAACGTTAACACCATTATCGTTTTCAATCGACAGATGATCCTCTGCCTTGTGTTCTGTTGGAGAAGACGAAGATGAATGCGAAAGGGTAATGGGTAGCTGAGGAAGGAGGAAGATGATCTTTGTACTTAATTACAGAGTTCATGCGTATATGTGCATAATGATCAATTATTAGAGTGACTGCAAGATGAAAAGACAAATTTGCCCCTTCACTAACGGCTCAAAAATGACGGGGTTAGGGTCAAGGACCAATCGCGCAATTAAATGAAACCTTAAGGACCATTCGCGTGACTTTTTGCTAGAAAGTCCTCAAAGTGCGATATTGTGTAAACCACAAGGACCAATCGTGAAATTTTGTCAAAAAAAAAAGTGCTCATGAGCTACCATCCAAAATCCAAACTTATAAGTTTTGTTTTTGGACTTAGTGGGTCCTCATCAACAATAAAACCATGATACAAAATCAACAACATGGGGATGTAGCTCACATGGTAGAGCGCTCGCTTTGCATGCGAGAGGTACGGGGTTCGATACCCCGCATCTCCATTTTTTATTCTTTTTGCGGAATGTATGTGAAACGCAACTGGATTATACTGTTAGAGTTGTAAAGTCGGTTTGGGCCGTCGTGCTTTCATCAAGAGCCACGAAAAACTAAAGTCTAAAACAACAAACCATCTCTCTCAACTCTGGAGCTCTGAAGCCTTTACATCTTTGTTAGCATCTCCGGACAATCACAAAGGTAATCTCTCTATCTGATTCTTTTTATCATCTGTTACCCCTTTTCAAATTCCCAATGCCTGGTTTTAATTCTTGTAATCGGGAAAATATAAAGAAAACCTAATCAGTCCATCTATATAAACTTCTTATATGGGTTTTCATGCTTCTTTCTCGTTTTTCGCTTACTTAAGCGATGCGGAATTACATTTCAGTTCAGCATATGGCTTTTTGATACGTATGCGAGAAATCCTAATCATGTTTTTTTTTTTCTGCCCACCAAGTGTTTGTGTATTTGCCTCTGTCAATAACCTTAAAAAAAGAATCTAATTTCTTAGTAGCTTCTAATCAGGATGCTCTATCCAGCTCTTAATTCGTAATGTTTTCCATTTCTTCTTCAGATCGTGTGGCTCTTCTAGTATTATGTTCATTTCTAAAATTTCCAGACTTGGAGCTCAGGCGTTCAAGGGATTATCAAAAGGTTTGATCTTCGATCTTTCTGGATGCTGTATGAGTTGTCATAACCTATTTCATAGATGATTGTTAACTGTTCTGAATTCTGATTCCTTCCCCCTCCTCAAATTGCAGCCCCATTAAGAACTCCATCAAGAAGGTCAATTTTCCCTAAAGTTCAGAATGACTATTTGTTTTCCTCGGTTAGTTGCATTTATTGCTAATGCAAGAATCCCTAATTATGTATTCCTGATATAATGAAATTATGCATCACTTCTTTCAGAGTCATAAATTATTCTCCACCACACCCACTACCAATTCACAAGATGAAAATGAAGACAACAACCAAAAGTGAGTATCTGTGTTTTTCATCAAAAAATCTAACCCTAAATTTCTTCATTTATATATTTACAACCTTCCTTGATCTCTGCAGAATCTCAGTGACATTCTTTGACAAAGATGGAGAAGAACAAGAAATCAAAGTCCCAATTGGAATGTCAATGTTAGAAGCTGCCCATGAGAATGACATAGAGCTTGAAGGTTAACTAAACTCAATATATCAAACCATCTTTCATTCACAATTATTTTGCTTAAGTCACTTTCAATTTAATTAACAGGAGCATGTGAAGGATCTCTCGCTTGTTCCACCTGTCATGTCATTGTGATGGTATGCTATTATTATACCATCTACGCAAAAAGACATGAATACCCTCATCATTGAAAATAACCCTAGAAATTTACACATGTGCTGTCAATCTGTGATTGGTCAGGATGTGGAACAGTACAACAAGCTAGAAGATCCTACAGATGAGGAGAATGATATGCTGGACCTTGCTTTTGGACTAACAGAAACGTAATTTTTTTTTTTATTTTTGAATTGTTATTTTATAAGTTTCTAGAATTTTACAATGATATGAGGTTTTAAGTTGTATGTTTGTTGTAGGTCTCGACTTGGGTGTCAAGTAATTGCAAAACCTGAACTTGATGGGCTTAGGCTTGCTCTTCCTGCTGCTACAAGAAATTTTGCTGTTGATGGATATAAACCAAAACCACATTAATCATATATTTTTAGTTTATTTCGGATCATTTTTGTAGCATTTGTATGCGAGGGTGTTTGTTCGACTGATGTTAGGAGATAATTGCAGAACATGTGACATTGGCAAATTTATAGACTTGATAATTAATTGGTTGTGTTGTGGTGTTGGGTTCATAATTTTTGTTAAGTGGATTGAATTATGATTTAGGTTTTGTTTGGTGTGATGTTTATGGAATTGAATGTTTGTCTTGATGGTAAGAGTGTGGGAATTTATAAGCAAGGTTTCATGTTGAAGTGTGGATATTGTTTTTGAAACATTGTGATTTGTATTTAACATGTTGGTTGGATCGGTTAATGGTGTTGTCTAATGGTAGTGTAAAAGTTTTTAGGTATGTTTGGTAAAAATGGTCTTCAGCTAGCAGTTAAAAGTTAGAAACTTATAGCTGTTATTTTTGTTGGTGATTGACAAAAATGGTTGTATGTTATTGAAATGTGTAAAATTTCGTAAAGCATAGTTCTTAAAGGCTCTCAAAAAAACTTTTAAAATGTATAAAATTATGTAAAACATAGCTCTTGAAGGCTCTTAAATATGTTTTAAATAGTACTACAATGTTTAAATGGATCCTTTTTTTTTTTTTCTTTTTACCCCATACGATTTCTTCGATTCGATTAAAAAAATGAGATGACCCAGGCTAAACCCTTTATCCTTAAAGATTTCCAAATAAACAGCTCTAAGAGTCTACATAAGAAGAGTCCACATTCCCTTTTACTACAAGACTATTATAGTTAGGGGTGGGCATTTGGACCAGACTGGATTGGTTTTTCAAAAATTGATGGACCTTGGATTGAACCTGTTAAGGTTTACCAGGTCTAGGTCTACGCCTGGTTCCCGATTCTTGGATATAGGGTTGAGCATTTGGATTGAACAAAACCGGACCAAACCGACTCTTTGACCAGATCGGTTTTGCAGAAATTAATGAACCTTGGATCAGACTTGATGAGCCTTATCAGGTCTAAGTCCAGGTTTGGAGGTCCAAGTGTTCACCCTAAGTTATGGTATGTATACACCCTTTACAAGGGTGATTTTGAAAGTCCCAAGAGGGTTACATCAGTGAGTTTGGTACTCCAATAGTTGATACACACTAGAAGCGTGTGGATATGGGAACATATAACTATAAACCAATATTCAGCTTCTGAAAAATAGTCGTCAACCCAGCGACTATCGTATATAGTCATTGTGAATGACTTGAAATCCAAAACTCCCAAAAACTAGTAGGCATGTGATATATTGACAGAGATGTGAAGCTACACAAAAGGCTGGAATTAAGTAATCATCATATAACATTTTTTTTTATAAGTGATTATTACTCATGTAATGACTGTGAAACATAAGTATATTGTATTGTACTCAGACCACGCAGGGTAAATGGATCTATCATGCATGTTACACCAGTCCTCTTGTAACAACCCAATAATCAAGGCAAAATTTTTATTTTAAAACTATCCTAAAATCCATAAGTTTTACAAAAACAAGTTCCCAAAAATCATTATCATTAATCAGAGTACCCCAGAATCATCAAAACACATAAATTCTGGATGATGTGCATGATCAAGACTTCATCTTTCCCTTGTCCTCTGAAGTACCTAAAACCATAAAAATCAAACTGTAAGCCAAAAGTTAGTGAGTTCCCCAAAATTGGATTCCATACACAACATTGCACTCACTCATGCATGCTATAAATTGCACTCACTCATGCATGCTAATCATACATAACATTGGATTCCATACACAGTTGAATACTTGATTCTAACCTAAGCTCACAACCAAACAAGGAACATGAAATTAGGCTAAATTGACCATTCTCATGCTATAAAATCTTAGTCATGTACCATTATGGTGATGGGTTTAGACCATAAGAACATCCTATGTGCTCATACAAACCCTAATGCATGGATCTAGGTTTCTCTATTGTACATGCAATTAATCCAAGACTATAAACCCTAATTCTAGCATATGATAATTGATATTAACATAATAATGGGTTTAATATATTACCTTGATTGTTATGTAGTAATAACAATCACAATTCCTTCTTGTACTGACTTTAGAAAGCTTAGAGTCACAAATGTCACTCCTCTAATGATTCACAAACACCAAGCGCAAGAGGATGAAGAGGAGAAGAGAAGGAGGCTGCCCAAAACCGTCCAAAACCCTAGAGAACAAGTTCCTCACGTTTTTGGGGCTTAAGTGTACTCTTTATACATGTAGGCTATTATGGATTTAAACTAGGAAACCCTAATCTGACTGCTTAAGCCCTAAGCAGCCCATGGATTCCTTTCTTAAAGGCCTTGGACGATTTCTAATGGGTTTCCCCATAGAATTCGTCCAACCTTATAATATAAGGTAATCCATAGCCCAATTGCAATTATCTTATAACTACAATTCCATTCCCTTAAGTTTAATTAATCTCTTTTAGTCACAAATTTAATTCTTATTAATTCTTGACTAATATTAATTAAACAATATGATTTCTCCTTTAATATATTATTCCCATAATATGTTAATAAATCATATTTAATCCTTTCTCTCCATAAATTATCCTATCAAGTTGCTTTGGTGAAGGCAACCCAAAAGGACCATGCACCATCGGGTCAAGTACATACCAAAATAGTTATGGACTTAGACACTAATCCAATAGTCTTCCACTTGGATAAGTCTAATAACTATTCTACGTATGACTTCAGATCCTGATCTGCAATCGTAGCTTTCCAAAGCCGCTGTCAACTCTGATCCTATCAGATACGCGTGTCCTTTAGATAAGGGATCATATATTCCTCCATTCTAGATATCGTATAAGACATGATTTCTAATCATTCTCTCTATACTATTTCCCGACTTCCGATTTATGACGACTGACTAATTGAACAAATCAAATTAGCCCTAGCCCGGCCGAGCATTTACGTTTGTCATCACTAAATCATCGAGGGGCCCAAAGATATCACTTTTATCCTACTTTGGATAAAAGGAACGGATAAACTTTGACTCAATGCTC